GAAATATGCATTATAATGAGTTGCATCAAATGAAAGAAGAGGATCTAAGCTTTCCAAATATGTGTCATTTATTAATTATAATTGAGATTAAGTTATGATAAAACATCGATAATTCCCAGTTTCGTTTTATCTGGGACGCACTGTACAACACCAACTGTAGTTTTGGTGTGACAATGATTTATGATATCAATAAAGTAACATATATTCATAAGCATTTATCTCATTCTCATTATAAATAATATGATCATTTCTTACTCGATCTTTCAACTGATTTGATACAAAAAAAAGCTACACCTCCTTCTCGACCAACAAGTCTGTTGGAATTCAAAAATGTATAACCTTCTAGCTCAAATGGTAAAAGTGGTACATCAGTAATCCACGTTTCAAACACTGCAATAATTGAAAATGAAATTTGAATTGATGATGTAAATTCAGAAATTCTTTCGAAATCTTTCTGAAGGCTATGAGCATTGACATGTAATATACTGAGACCATTATGTTTATGAAACTTTATGTTAAACTCATTCGGTGTGTAAAAGCAAGAATTTGTATTCAATAAATTATATAAATTTAAATCTGGATCAATATCAGCTAACGGATTCATAAATACATTCAATAATATTCATATTTTTCAATGCATCAGGGTATATGAAGTTTACATTGCAAAACGCTAAATAAAGTGGGGATCTACTGATAAGCAAAGCTGTATTATGTAGGTCTCAGTTAATAGGTTTGTATATACATTAGGGTATCTGGATAAACATAAGACATTTACAAAAGCATGTGATTATACGAGAGTTATCTTTAAGTGACACACGTTACTAAACATAGCGTAAACAATGGAGATAAAAGGGGGAAGAGTTATCTGCTTTCCTTAGCATAACTAAATATATATAAATAAATAAAAGGATCAGTGCACACTTTTGTGTGAAAAGAAAGAATAATTTCAAGGAAACCAAAAAGAGAACAGGTACGTAAGAAAAGATGATTAACGAGAATGGAAAGTAAGAAGAAAACAAGAAACGGAGGAAGAACAAAAAAAAGATAAAAGACATACACCAAAAAGAATTAATTATTATTTGAGTTCGAATACGCGAAATTGAAGAAAAGCTTTTTAAGCAACTGGTTAAATAAAATATGTATTCGAAAGAATGTTCCCTTGAGTAGTAAACAAAACAGTTCAAATTTGATAGAAGTAGCTAACAGGAGATTTTGTTCGTTAGTTTGAAGGCGAAACATTATTATTTAATCCTCCTTATACAAAAACTTCAGAAACCACTTGTTACACGTTACCGGAAGATTATTTGAATTTACCTTTTTCTTTTAATTGGCAGAAAGAAGTAAATTTTAATTTTTGTAACAAATAGGAGATAACTGGATAAAGCATGTTAACATCTTTCCATCAAAACATAATCTATGCAGATGGCGTTAAATGAACAATGACCAGTGTGGTATACGTAAAGAAACAAAACACAAAACAACTTTTCATTAAAAAAAAAATGTAATAAGGTTCGCGTTTTTTGGAAAATTATTGAAAACTTATTTTATAATTACTTTCATGAGCAAAAAGATATTAATGAAAAGACATTAGTTATAGGTTATTATATTGAAGAAAAAGAAAACCTTGAGATAAACTCCAAGTTAACTTTATGCCAATACGTAATATTCATAATGCATATCCAAATTCTCTATGATGGTAAAGAGTATAATTCTAGTAAAAGCCAGTATAATAGTAAAACACTGCACAATCGTAGTTTAATTACCCTATACAATCCTTCTAGATATCTGAGATCATCAAATTCATCTTCGTTGGTTGTACCACAAACTCGAAATTATTGGGGGGATAGGGCTTTTTCTCTTGCCGGTCCATTACTTTGGAACAAACCGCCACAATCTATTCGTAATTTGTCATCTGTCAATGAGTTGAAAACCGCACTCAAGACATACTTGTTCAATGTCTCATATTGTTAAGTTGTCGCATGCTGCTAAGTATTACGTTTAGTGTATCATATTATACAAATAATAAATGGTTATGAGTTCAATATTGCGAATATTTTCATGAGCTGAAAGATTAACATTCTATTCAACGAGGCGTCAGCCGAGTTGAATAGAATTAACGTTAATATGTCAACGAATGAAAATATTTTCACTATTAAACGAATGAAAAACATTCAATATTTGTTTTATACAACATCAAGGAAGAGCTAATAGAACGTTAATCAACAAATTATGCTTTACTCCTTATATTAAAGATAAATTAAAGTTGGAGTCAAGCCTTCTCGATTACATTCAGATTGCCTTCGCGTCAGATACACGCAGGGATACGCGCGCGGCAGAGAGGTATGCAGTCTGCCATATAACCAAGAATGCACGGCGCATATAACCAAATATGCACGCCCGTGAAATATAACATCTATTGAATATCATGTGACCAACAATCCTCCAATCAAATGACAAGGATCCACGTAGGTGTTGTATACGAATTCATTTTTTAATGTTTGTACTCATGTTCATGTTCATGTGACTATTTCTACTCTATTTTCTACTGCGTCATAAGCATCATTATTGTGATTGATACCGGCGGATTTTAAGTGTTCATGTTATCATTATTACAAGTCTGTTTGTTAATTTCATATCAAAACTAAGATATTATACTGCAAATAAGGAGCGTGTTTTATTGACGAAACACAACGAAATTATTCAAGAAATGTTAAGGTTAAAACCATTAATTTAATTACTGTTGTATTGTTGTCCTTTATATTATGTTTAAAATGTAAATTCAAAACAATATATATTTGATGATCAGTATGTTATATAAGACACCTCGGCAGGAGGATAAGAACAACTAAATCTTGCCATACTGCCCTTTTAAATTCAACACAATGTAACTCTGTAATTATAAATGTACTAAACTATGGAATGCTCTTGAATCTCTTTTTAAAACCATACACTCCAAAAATGCCTTTCAATCTGAGTTTAAACAAATCTTTAAAAATATCTACTAGCTTCATACTTCCCTTTTCTTCTTCATCGTTGACAATGTATATATATATATATATTTTGTAATGTGTAACGCCAATGATTTTCGTTACGTTTTGTGCTTTGATTGTATGTTGTATTTGCTGTTTTTATTACAAAGAATGTAAGTGGAATCGCTGAGTTTTACTGCAAGCCACTGGCATTTTAATGCGATTTCCCAGGCATAATTTTATTATACATTGTATCTTTGTATTTTATACAAAGTAATAAAATTGAAATTGAAAAAAATTGGCAACACCTTAAAGATTCAAAACCATTGTTTTTTTCCGACCAAACTTGACAATGATATCTACTTTTCGACGAAATTATTACCTAAGTATATTTTTCTGAGACATTGAATTTTATTATATGAATGTAGCATTCAAAGGAAAAAGATATTTCTGTTGCCAATTTAAAGAAAAATATGTGATCAATTCAGCCCTTAAAATTTCCCTGTCTCGAAACGAATAAAGATTCAAGTTCATTCATTTTGATTTGATTTAATTACTAAATGACATTTGAAATATGTACATTAATGGACAATCTTTCCCTCTCGACCTTTCTGTGCCTTAGTCTTCCTCTCTCTCTCTCTTCCTGTGTCTCTTCCTCTGTCTGTCTATTGATGTGCCTCTGCCTCTATCTATCAGCCCCTCTCTATCTCTCTGCCTCTCTGTCTGTATGTCTCCCCCTCTTTCTCTCTCTTTCTCTATGTGTCTCTGTCTCCGTCTGCCTCTCTCTCTCTCTCTCTCTCTCTCTCACACACACACACACACACACACACACACCAGTTTGCTTTATAAATATGCTATGTTACCCCAAGGTTTGGGGCTAAATAAACCAAAAACTTTAGGGGGTTAGAGTTCGAAAATATGAAACCATGTTACTGCATAATTAGTACCCTTTTTACCATTTGCTTTTAATGAAAGAAATATTATACTGATTTTCGAACGAATTAACCACCACCATTCACAAAAATATCTGAAATTAGACAAGCAACTGGAATTTTCATTATATCTCTGCAAAATTGTTGATAGAAACATTTGAAAATATGTTTTGAAAAGTAATGTAACATATTCAAATGGATTAAGTATAACAATGAGATAAAAAAATTTGAAGAAAATTTCAAATTACAGTTTTAAATTCAAGTCTGCAAACTTGTGTGCAATTATTCAAGAATAAATCAAAAAAGTAATGAACGACTTTAAAACTGAATAATTAGATGATAAACTGGACCTATAGATTTTTGTTCAGAATCGTCAAGAAAAATATTGGAATCAATATCAACAATTTAAAAAGGAAACATATATTTTCAATTAAATATGCAATAAAAATAATTTTAAACTGAACTCGTGGATTCGTTATATATAATTCATGCCAAGTAGTAAGATAATCATTACATTTTAGGAAAGGTAACTTAACGAGTTTCCAATAAATTGACCAGGAGCAAGTCAAGATAATTTTTTGTGTTTTCCCCTTTAAATTATGCATGATAAATTGAAAGAAAAGTGTATAAATAAATGTTATGGCACAATGAACTAATTTTCAACTAATTAATCTTATCAACTGTAATGTTTAATTAGTCATCTTTAGTTCATTAACACTCACTGTAGAAACCTTCAAAAAAACGTTTTAAAAATCTTCACCAACTCCTTTTTTGTTTAAAGATGAAGTTGAGTTCTGGTCATGCGATTACATTGTGAAAGGAACGGTGTGGAATCGATCAGAAAAGGTTGATCATCTAGCATATAAGTAATTGTGTGTATTGCAAGGTTCTGGAATCATCAAAATGATAATAAATTAGGCCAAGTCTTGGTAAAATTACAAACACTGTACACAGAAAGATGTATATGGGACTACACGAACACGTGGCGTAAAAATCCTACCCTGGATTTTTACGATGTAACATGACATATTTAGAATATGAAGGCATTTAGGGAGCCGTGCTTTTCAGGGAACGTGTTTGATATGATGTTCTTCCACACTTGCGTAATAACAATGACAACGCTCACAAATTATTTGTCACCTCTTCCCAGAACTCAATCTTCTCTTTAAGATTGTGTTGAAGTTTAACAAAATAAATAACACGTTCGCAACTACATTCGATTGAACCTAAAAAAACCCACCTAAATTAAATATTCTTTTGCTTCGCCTATTGAAATTTGCAAACATGACAATGACGGATTGAGTAATCCGAAAAAGTTTTTATGGGATAAACAATAGGGTATTGAAATTGCTCTTGAATTGATTCTTCGAAAGTAGCTACAATCATGCTAAACCTAAACTAAAACAAAACAGAAAAACAATAGAAACCAAAACAAAACTTAACTTAAGTAAACTTGGTTAATTAATTAAATTCGCCAGCAGCAATCTTAAAAATAAGTTCGACGAATCGATTATGCTCAGATATGAATCGATCCGTCTGTGCTACACGTGAGAATTGGATATCTGAGTCACTATGGTAGTAGTAGCAGTAGATCAGTCGCACGCCCTGGTTATACAAACCGTCGCTAGGATTATCTCCAGATACTATGGACTTGCCATCAGTCGGCCAGTAGATCGATTCCTTCTTCACCGACATACCATGAACCTATACCAAAAGATAATATATTTTGGTATAGCACTTTATTATTAATGTTTCTAAGCGCTTTACATCGATTTGTACAAATCATCAAAGGTATATTTGTAATAAAAATTAATAACGATTCATGAATTAAATTTACAAAGGAAGGAGTAAGCAATATAAAACAAATTATAGTAAGGAAGATTATACAAAAGTTTACATAAAACTACATGTATTGCATTTGTTAAACCTCCATATTAAGACATAACATAATAAATAGGCACCTAAAAGTTAACAATATACAATTCAAGTTATGAGATGTCTACAAAGTAATTACATACTTAGGGAAGTTAATAGAAACTGATAAAAGACATCGTTCAACAGATTAAAAGAGTAAAATGGATACGTCGGCACGAAATCAGACATTTCTGATTGACCTATTTTTATTTCAACGGACAGATGGAGGAATAAAGTAACTCTGCTATAAATCATCTCAAATTGATAAATGATGTCCCGATTTCAGACTAATTGATGGGCAGCAACAAGTTCAAAATCTTTGCAACAAGGCCATCACTTCAGTATAGCTCTATATTGCTACAATGAAACTTATAATTAATGTTGCACTTGAATTGCTAACCGGCTCTAGTGTACAAAAACCTACGGCTTTAAATCCTCTCCTTGGGATTTAAAAATGAATGATTAATGCTGTATCAAAGGGCACTAATTCGTCGACTTGGTTTTGAAACTGGGACCTCCCGAATACAATATCTCTGCTCTACCACTGAGCCATCACGCCTCCTTAAAGCAAAGCAATTCAACAGATTTGTTGGCCTGATGTTTTTTGGATTAAGTTTTAGGTCAGGTTGAATGGGTTATAATACAACATGAGCTATTAATTTCTACGTTTTCAGATAATGTTAAAGCATGATACTGGCGTTCAAATCTGCTATTTTGGGCTTAAAGGGATTTAGTAACATTGTTCAGATGAGGGAAAATGGTGCTAAGGTAGTGACTTCAATGCTAAATGTACAATTAAAGATAATCTGAAAGTTGAGTGAGAACGGACCATTATTAACGATAAAAATGGGGAAACGTTGATCTGATCGATTCCTTACTTCTCCCATCTTTATTATTACAATTTGATTACATTTTAGGTAAATGCAAATCGTCACAAAGCAATGAATTGGCTCTATATATACCATTCCAGATATCAAAGTGTTTACAGATTTTTAAAAGCCTGTCTTATGTCTTTATTTATGGAAAAACGGTTAGAAAAATTCAAAAAAGGTTAGAAGGTGTCGCACAGTGACGCCTTCAAAGAAAGCCATACATATCTTTGTGGTTTGAGAATTGTTTCAGGATTTGTTTGCATGTTAGAGGGTTAGAACAGTAGAAGGAATATAATAAGTAACATTTCATACACAAATTAAGGAGTTTTTTTTATCACCCTTCAACAATGTTACCGAGTCACTTTAACAGTTAAACCCGGTTCTCCCTTTGCTTTGTCGCCTTTTGATCGAGCCATATTCCTTTTTTGTGTGAATATTTTAAGTGAAATCCTAACTTTGTGAGGTTAAATAATTTGATTTTAATTTGTCTTGGAATGATTTCTTCAAAGTGATTGACAAGTCATTCACAATTTGTGTTCGTGGATGAAATTATGTCGGGTGGGGGGCATCCCACCTCCCAAAATAAATGGATGTCAGTGTGAAGAGAAAACGTATCTTTGTTGGACATTGACGGTCATCTACTCACCATTTGACATTTACCAAAGCGTGATAAAAGCATGAAGTTGGAATCAACGGGGAGGTGTATTTTCTGTGAAACAACGTTATCATTCCGGCAGCAAAAGTTGATTGCAGTGTCTGTCCCAGAAGGTTGAACGCCCTCAGTCATGCCAAATGTGGCGTCATTATCTGGGTAACCCCAATCTATGCTACTAGATGTGAAGCCTAAGAAAGGGGCCGGACAAAAATGAAAACACATGAGAAAGATTGTAAATATCCAGTCTTGCACCATGGAGGGATAAATGGGACAAACACACACCCATATATAAACATTTCATCAGCTACTCTACAAGGCAGGCTGCTATTCAGTGCGATCCAGAAAATGAAAAAGAAACCCGAAAACACACGGTCACTGTCAGCAAACTATGAGCTGCATGAAATTAATAGAATTCTCAACTCTATAGAAAGCTATGTGAAGGAATAGTCAGATCACCCCTAAACTTGAAAAATTATAATTAAGCACATTCTTTTATTCCCCGTGTCTAAGTATAAGTAAAACAGCTTACTGAGGGTTATTAGCCACAAATGACACGAGTAACTACTGTCGTACAAAAATAAAAACCGAAAATATATACAACAGCCTGTAGATCACACAATTATACATGTAGGTCTACAAGCTTAGAGTACCGGATTAGACCGGTTTGTGCTTCCGAATTTAGGAATTAAATAGCCTAAATAAACCTATCTATTCTAAAAAAGGAAATGTGTACCGTATAATTTATATACACTGTACAACATCATATATTTTTTTTAAAAAGTAATACAAGAAATAAACACCCGCTTCGCCAACATTGCCACTGCATATCTTAACAAGGTTTTATAGTGGATTTGATGCGTGTGGTCCAGTATAATTATAAAACTAATTCATACTTTGTGGGCATGTCGAATCAAATTGGTAGATGCAATAAGATCCAGGTTGCCATTGCCATCTAGAACCAGGAATGCTAGATACAGTCTTTATGCAAAACTCTTGTCTCGAATAAACCGATGATATGCTATAACCCGCAAAAAGATTAACGTTGCTCCATTTGTTTTCTCGTTCATCTTTTGGGCCATAAAATCGAATGCGAGATCCCTCGTCCCAATCAGTAGTAGGGCAACCGTTGTAGGGCTTGGGAAGACCGTAGACCCCATCCGGCCACGTTAGAGGTATTTGGATGACTGGATCTAACCGATAAAACGACAAGTTGAGAAATGATCACATCCTAAAATTTGTTGCTACTTGTGATTTTGTTCTTCTTCAACTTCGCTGTTTTGTAGTTTTCAACGAAAGTCTTTGAATTCGCCTTCTTTTTAATAAATTACTCTTTTTGTTAAAGTCAATATTTGGTTCATGTTTATAGAACTAAGCAATAATTGGTTTCTGTAATTTCTGTCTTCAATATTATTGTATAACAAAATAATTTGTTATCTACACCAACAAGGCCATTGTGGAAAGCAGATAGAGGATGGAAAGAGAAAGAATCCTAAAAATAGTCATTTATGACATGAAATTGTACATATGTATATATATAAATAATTCATAAAATAGTGTGTGGCAAAAATAGTCAACTGTGACTGATTGCCAAACAAAAACAAATCAAGAAGAAGAAGTTTCTAATAAAAGTGCTGCCCTATAAAGATAAAACTGTGGTTAATAAAAAAACAAAAAACAAGGAGGACACCATCTCTAAGTTATGTTTAACCTTTCATTAGTCACCAGTGTCAATTTGCAAAGTAGCTCGTTTGCCATATGGCTGGAATACTCCCCTGGGAGTGGAGAATGTACATACATTGTGTGCGGGAAAGCCTGAATCCCTTGGCCGGGGTAATAATATATATATCTGTAAAGCGCTTTGATAGGGCCTTCGGTCCTGAAAAGCGCTAAATAAGAACTAGCTATTATTATTATTAATATTATTATTATATGGACAAATCTGGCCAACGCAAAGGCTTTAATAAATTGCCTATGTCCGGTTTTCACAACCTTTTGAACGACTAGTATTGCTCTGAAACGAAAATTGTAATTCTTTAAAAAAAAATATAGAAAAAAAAGACACATAGAAAGTGCACACCCTCAATGGCTAGGACGGCAGACCAATCTCTCAAATATGAGTGTTGAACATTTTCTTTTGACTCAGATTCACTACATTTTCATTCAACAAAAAAAAACTGGTCGAGCTATTTTTTAAAGTTATCTCTTTCAGTATACCTGAATTACAAATAAAACAGCATAACTACAAGTCTGTTATTTGACTCCTGATATGTCGGTAAAGCCTGTTAGATATTTTTAGTTACTTGGTACCTTAAAAGAACAAATTGAAAGTAAGGACTTTTTTTTCATTCTTCTGCTTTTGGCTTTTTTTTCCACGCGCCGTTTTCCCGTAAAACATTGTTCATAATTTCTGTCACTCTATCCCTATCAAAAGACAAATTAAAAAGTCAAGATTTCTTTTTTCATACTTGTGCTCCTATCTATTTCACGCCATTCGCCGTAGTTCGATAAAGCCTGGTCCATATTTTGTTTCACGCTCTCCAGATCAAAAGAGGCGGTGCAGTGGCCTTCAGATATATAGTCATCTAATCCCGTCCAGTAGTCGTTTACGAAGATCTCTGGCATGGCAATCAGTTTTAGGCTGATGGGCTCTATAGAAAAGAAGACGAAATAAGACAAAAGTTGAATTAAAACCCATGTTCTGATCCGAAATGGGGTTTTAACGACAAAACATTTTTAGAAAAAAAAGCTCTACATATATGGAGAGTTCGGTCCCAAAACATGCTGCACCTATATACTAGTAGTTCAGTTTGAGAAAACAACGATTGGCCATTCTTATCTACAGTTTATTATCAATGTTATAATTTAAAATCGCTCTGAAATACTACTGAATATTAAGCTAAAATGTTTAATCACTTTTTAGGAATAAGGTGCCTTTTAAAAATATCTATTTGTCTTAAATTGACTATTTGAATATTAATAATTATAATAATAATATTAATAACAACAATGATTGGGACTAGACTTGGGATTCGTCACGGAGATGAATAAGGTGATCTGCCGTTTTGATCGAGACATAATACATATACAAAACTCAATGGGAGATTTGGTCTTTAATAAAAGAAAATCCACCCTCCACTTATATAACACGCCTATGTACTAGCTCATTTAGCAAGCAATGATGTAGAAACAGTAGAAATTATTGTTCTGACTATTGTTCGGTACATACAGAGCAGACAGAGCAGCTAGGAAAGCGATGTTGACGGTCGAGAATCGTTAGGAGAAAATGTGCAGATGAGAATTGTAAGAGAGATAAAGTATCGATGAAGAATAGTAAGAACTAAGAGGCGTTCACCAAATCTGACCATGAAATCAAAAGGCTAGACTGCGTGTTTAGATTTACGACCCAGCCAAGTATCATGTTTTGACGAAGGCTTGGGAGGCAGGCACGTAGCCACGGAGGAGGGGGGGGGGGGCACGTGCCCCCCCCAAATTTCCAGGATCGGTTGAACTTTTTAGACCCCTTTTTTTACCTCGATCGATTACATATACGTCCCCCCCAAACATCAAACTCTGACTACGTGCCTGTTGGGAGGGTGGGTGATAAGAATAACGAGTAGGAGCCGCGTTAATCGGCCGATCACCTAATAGCACCGAGTCAATGAGAAAATCGGACTCTGACAAAAATTCCCAGCCTCCATTAAAAAACACGTACAAGTAAAAACCACAATGGCAGATTTTGCAGTCTTCCCTGTCCTTAATTTTAAAACAGAGTTTTAACCACGATCCCGTCTTCTGATCTAAAATTGAATCACATTTCATTTGTAGAGTGCAATCTCAGCTTCAACATAATGAAATACGGGATACATCAGAGTATTAGTAAAGATGAGATATATTCAAAACAACAACGGCAAATATTACCTAATCGAATAAAATTCAATTTTTCATTTAAGTGGCGCTATTTTTACGTCAACGCATTCTAGCAGCAAACGTGATACACATACACAAAACAACCAAGTAAGATACAACATATTAACGAGGAAAATTTAAAAAAGAAGAAAAAAAAGGTCCTTTATTATAGTAGTTAAAAGCCTAATCACGGGAGGAGGGGGGCACGGGGGGGGGGGGGGGGAATGTGCCCCCTAAAATTTCCAAGATCGGTTGAACTTTTTTAGACCTCTTTTTTTACCTCGATCGATTACACGTATGTGCCCCCCCTCCCCCCAACACACTGCTAATCACCCCTCCCAACTTTGCATTTAGCTCAGGAAGAACGAGTCATCCAGAGTTTAGGAAACGTCGAGATTCTAGACAGAACATGATTATTATCAAAGTCATGTTGTACTTTTGAGCAGAGCCTTGGACAAAACGAAAATAAAAGGAAAAATAATTTTAAAAACAATGCGTTCACTCATATGAAGCCGAAGGAGTGCTTTAAGAACTAATGTGATGTGACTGTGCCATTTTAGTAATCGTAAAAGTTTATTGTGAAATATGCAATAATGCTATATTGAATTACTTTTAAAAATGTGGACATAGCATGTTTAGGAACTAGAATGTGATCGACTACGACCTCAGTGTAGTAAAATACCCTACCGTTTAATTCATTGGTTCCGATTCTGTACTTTGAAGAACTGCTGCCAAACTTAGTTTCACTGTCCATTGCGCTATTGAATGATTCCATATCAACCGATAAGGAAGCACTGAAGCCAGCATAGGCTCCTGAAGCTGAGATGCTTCCTTCAACCTGTACAATGATAATGATAATAATAATTATAATAGTAATAACAATGGTAATAATAATGATTTTGAATTTCACTTTTAATCTAAAAAAAGAAAATATGCCCGTATTGATCTGGTCTGTCTACAACATGTTTTTTTTTTTTTTGGGGGGGGGGGGGAGGGGGTGGGGAATCAAGTAACGTATCAATTTTGCGGTGGATCCTCGAATTCTTTTGTTTGCACTGTTTGAATGTTAATGTAAAATTTCCCTTAATCCTAACCAAATTTGATTATCTCTTTTAATTATTAAAAGCTGCAGTTGTGTTGTTCATGGAAAAAATGCTAAATATGGGATTTGCCATATTTGGCATTACAACTGTAGGATTTGACTGTTGGGTCAGAATGATAATGCCTTTTGGGGTCAAAACACAGATTGCTAAAACCCCACTATCGTTCGATATAGTTCGAAGCAAGTGTGTTCGGCTGACTTGTAAGCAGAATGTTCAAAACACAACATAATTTAAAGACATTGTCATGGAATCACCCATTACCACTCACAAACACAAACACACACACACGTACTTACCCACACGCACAAATATACGAAAATGCATTTCTGGTGAACATTCTTACATTTTGAGCTGCGTAATTGACGAAGGATGATCGTTTTTCTTCCAAGTTTTCACCTTCCCTAATTCCCAAATTAGCCTCTTCGATGACATGCTATTGAATAAAAAATAATAGTAAGGTTGTTATTTTCGTTTGTATTGTTAATTAGTATTACTTTTAGTATTATTAGTAGTATTATAATTAGTATAGGCCTATTCATTCGTATATTTACTTACTCACTTATTCCTGATATAACTACTAATACTACTACTACTACTACTACTACTACTACTACTATTATTATTAATTATAATACTAATGATAATACTCATGAAGATAATAATATTTCTATTCATATATGGCCTTTTCCGAAAGATATTATATAAAAATCTATCCAATATTCATTTATTCGTTTGACCATGAACAAATTTAAGAATAACTACATTTGTAATACTTGTTTGGAACAAGTATAGGTGGGGTGATCCAACAAAAAATTGAGACAAAATAAAGGGTACATTTGAGATAGCTTTTTGTCTCAGCTACAAAATACTCGAAGTTCAGCGTAAACGAAGCTAAAACGTTGTAGATATTGCTGGCGAAAGACGGGAATGTAGAATCGAGTTTTGAGAAAAAGACATGTCCCACAGAGAATACACGCAAAATGTGAAAAATTGACATGCCTCCTTTAATTGCAAAAATACGCCATGATGCCTTTGTAAAAATGAAGGATAGTAGCAACTGCATTTGTAGAAAATTGTCTCAGCTAGAACATATCAAAATTTGGAAGAAAATCAATCAATATTTACAGCGATAAAATCAATTTTCAAAAAATATGCTGACATCATAATATGCAAATTGAAATTATGGGTTCGGAGACAATTATGATGACGTCATGAGAAAATTGAGAGTCAAATGAGACATGAAATCATATCTCCAATTCATATTCTATCACAATATGAATAAAAAAATTGGGGTCACCTCGACTCCTAAAGAGCTACAATGGATTTTGTATAGGCATGTTTTTGCCCATATATGCTATGTAATACAAGAGCTTGCGCGCACGGAAATTTATGTTAAACGGACGCTCATTACGTTATTAATAGTCATATAGAGATAAACATGTTATCAATTTGTTTGTAAAAATATGTGAAACATCATGAAAGAAAACAAAATGGCGATTCTACGCTGTGTAATGGTGTAACGCGCGAAAACGCGCGCGCATGCGCCTGTGCGCGATTTTTCATAAAATGCTTAGAATGGCCTAAAACGTATGCAAAATGATTTTGAGACGATTTTGAGCATTATAAAACTTTGCGCGCGTATTGACGCGCGCGTTCTTTGACCTGAAATTGACCGGACGGATATTGACCTTGATTATAATAAATATGAATGAGAAATAGCTTTTGGTTATGAAGATATGATCATGAGTTGATTTTCGTAAAATTTTACAAAATGGCGCCTAGATGACGTCATCAGCAAAGATCAATGTTGAAAACAATATTGTGCTTTGTACATATGCCTATACATATGTGTGCCAAATTTCAAGGCATTTGATCAAGCCATTTTTAAGTAATCGTGCTTACAAAAAAGTGGTTCGAAATAAGAAAAATAAAGAATAAATAAAGGCAATTCTAACGAAATTATAAGGTGGTCTACGTTATACAGCCCACCTGATAATAAAGGCAATTCTTTTGAAAATTATAAGGTGGTCTGTACGATATACAGCCCACCTGATAATAAAGGCAATTCTTTTGAAAATTATAAGGTGGTCTGTACGATATACAGCCCACCTGATAAAGGCAATTCTAACGAAATTATAAGGTGGTCTGTACGTTATACAGCCCACCTGATAATAAAGGCAATTCTAACGAAATTATAAGGTGGTCTGTACGATATACAGCCCACCTGATAAAGGCAATTCTAACGAAATTATAAGGTGGTCTGTACGATAAACAGCCCACCTGATAAATTCGAAGTAATATGTAAAAATATACAGAGTGAAATGAGAATTAATGGCATGTGGGCTGGGGTTCACGAATTCGAAATTCTCCCCTTTCGCCTCACATGTAACATTTCACATACCATTCCGAAAAATATGATAGATACTGCACGGAAAACAAATATAGTTGTAATAATTGCGGGGCGTCAGAAAGGACATCATTAATGCTGATGAGATCTATTTAGGGGTGTATTTTTACCGTTCCCCAGTCTTCCATGAATTCCATATAATCTGCTTCCGTGTAGGTCTGTGGAAGGCGGCAGGCGGCAGCCACAAAGCCGGGTGAGAGTAAATGCTTCCCGGTGAGCGCAAGTTCCGTCCGGTAACGTGCTTGTCCAAGGTTTGTGATTGTCTCGTTACTTAGAAACACAGATCCTTCACCTGACGTTTTGTCAGCCACTTGTTGATAACCTACAGGAATTATTTCCATTATTCATTTTCTTTATACTCTTTAACCGTTAACATGGTTAACCTACATAATGCCATGCAATTTTTTTTTACATTTAATTCATACATTATACTACATTCTAGCTATACACATTTTTTTAAGGTGATTGGTACATATTAATAATAATATAATTTACCATGATTTCATTTTGAAGAAAATATACTGTTCTTTACACTTCAGTGTCACACCAATCTAACATTCATCACAAAAGATACTGCAACAGCTAGGTCACCAAATATGATATATCTGTATATTGAACAACATACGAATTTCCCTCTCTTCAAACCTCAGTCACACCGCCAGACTTCAAATGGACTTCAAACATGACCTCAGTCCCAAAATAGAGTTCGAAAAAGGGGTAAGAAGAGGCCTGATTAATATTTGGTCCTTGTTGTATTGCCTGTCACAGAAATGTCACACTTGCGCCCCCACCTCCTGCCCGAGAATTATTGATCCACCTCGAATAGAGATTTATAGGTAGAGAGGGGAAAGTATATAGGCCTATAATAGAACAAGATATGAAAGAACATTAAGAGATTGAGTTACAGTAAACAAAATTCTGAATAATTATAGAAATTGGAACGGAGAAAGAGAGAGAGAAAGTGAGTGGGGGAGATAGAGAGAAAAATAAGATAGGATAGATGGAGATGAGGAGATCTAACGAATCTTGCAACCATGTAGATGAATGTAATGTATTTTTCGTTATGCTGTCCGTGTGGGGTCGGACTCGTTAGCGTGACTGTGGTATTAAGTGGAAGCAGACAACTTACGGGCACTTGCAGCGAATTGGACCTCGGCCATGACACCTTCGTATCCACCTGCAAAGAAATAGATCGAAGGAGATTGGTGTGCGAGAAAAACATGATTAGTAATATGTATTACACGTTGAACGGAAAAGTTGTCCGTGTCTACGAAACATTTGATCCACCAAATTTACTATTTCAGATTCACATACATTTAGTAATCTTATATTTCAAACATTCATAACTCTCATATGGCTCCGTTTAGTCTCATTTCACAACGCCCCCTATCGTCAGAGCATGATCAGAGTCAGCAGCCTAACATGTTATCCTATGGACGTTTTTTTAAAAATTCATTTTTTGTTTAAACGAAAAGCACATCTACCCCGACGTACGTTTTTACTAGCTCTTTCATTGGAGCCCTTATGTCTCATAGACTTTTGAAAGTTCACCCACCGTAATTTTTCAAAATAGGTTGCAAGCTCGTCATTGCCTTTAATACACATGTGAAACAAGTCTAACTTTGGACTCAGTTTACCAAGCGATTTGAAAATTATAGGTCGAGCACACGAAACATCAAAAGCATGAATTATCATAGATCACTTCTGCCTATTTCATTATGTCTATTTTATCCAACCCCCCCCCCCCCACCGTAATTTTTCCATTTAGTAAAAGCAAACATTTTGCCGAGTTTAGCAAAAACATGAATATTCATGAACGGTCAGACAATACAGCCTTTTAGTACGTAACGTATAGTGAATGGGAATGGGCGATGATCCGTTCAGGAGGTAGAGGTCAGTGGTTTGTGCTGGCAATGTTCACGCGAGCGAAAATGAGACAATCGGAGCAATATTCTTATTATGAGTCCTATTTATTCCGTACTTTCTCCATTCTGTCTTTCTTATTTGTTCTGCTTTCATACAGATGAGCGATTGCCCTGCAATATGGCTAAATAGGGTAATCCTCCGGGCTACAGGCAGCTACTTGAATACACTCATTTATTTGTGCGTGCCTAACAAAAATACATTATTCGATATTTCTAAAGACTGAAGTCAGTAAAATTCATGTCATCCATCTCGTATCAAAATCTTTGAAAAAATGTAGTTACACACTATTTGTTCTTGCAATTTGTGATTCGTAAGGCCTTATACAATATCGTTTCACTTTTGCAAACGTTAAAGCTCCTGTAAAGTGTTGGGAGCCCCAACAATTTTGATGGCAAAATTTCGATTAAATTGTATCATAATGTGAAAGAGGAAAAATTTAAAACACATTTCTGGTCAGGATTTTCTAATTTTTCCCTGCAATACGTTTACTTCGGCGGCCTCGTTATTTTTGTTTTGCCGTTATCGTTCTTCTTAGTATTTCCTCGTCATCTCTCATATCTCTCAATCATATACCTGTTCATATTTCCCTTCCGTTTTTTTCTTCTCTTCTTCTCTTTCTCTCTTAGCTTCTTTTTTTCCTTCTTTCCTTTTTTTTTTCTTTCCCCCTTTTCTTTCATTCCTTTCCCATTTCCTTTCTCTTTTCTTCTTCTCCCTTTTCTTTGTTTCTCTTTTCATCTTTTCTCCTTTTCTCTTTCCCTTTTTTCCTTTTTAGTGTGGGGGTGTCACGTCCTCCCCCTCTTCAAGCGACTCCCCTGTCTGCAAAGGTCCATTGTTGCTTGGAAGTCGTATAATTGTAAAAATTTCCCTTCCGTCAGTACTGATTTCCCAAGTTTAAATAACACTCACCTGTTACTTCAACTTGAGCGGCGAGTTTGGAAGCGTAACTTTTTGTACCATGAAACGTTGACAGTGATGATTCTGAAAAGGCACTGTCTCGCCGTACGAACGATATCTCGTCGGGAATGCGACTCGTCAGGTCAGAAGTTGTTTGCCCTTGGTCATAAGTGAATTTGAAGATCCGTCGACTGATCAATATACCTGGATCTACGCCTCCAGTTTGTAAGTCACCCCCTTCAGGGTTACCATCTATCATGTTATAGCCGACACCGACAAAGAGGACGCCGTGCTGGATCGGAAGCTCATCTGCCGTAACCCAACAGCGGTTGACATCTTGAATTATTACCAGTGTCGAGATGATAAGAAGAAAAACATGTTTTCCGCCAAACATTCTTGATGGTCCTCGAATGCTACAAGAGATATCAACAAAACAAGAAAAAAATAACTGAGAGTGTTACGAGTAGCCGGCCTGCGCATCTAAAGATGGGTTGTTCAAAATGAATGATTGGAAGTTTGTACGGCACTTGCTCCTATGACAACATATCTGCGTTACTCTCTTACACTAAGCACATTCTGTTTGACTCTAAATTCAACGCTCTACTTACCCTAACCCTTAAACCCTAACCTTTAACGTAACCTTTAACCAAAATGTAACCCTAACCCTTACCATATATAGTAACTTCGACGAAATAAAACCGAGCAATTGTAGCAGGGGCAAATGTCTGGTAATCGCTGTGAAATGCGGTATTGTTTGAGCTAAATACAAACTCAACCCTAAAGGTCGGTGCTGTCGGTTCAGAATATGTTCATCTCTTGGCACCAAATACATGGTGATTACAGGTTTTACTTCAAAGTTATCTTTAAAACTCGATGTAAACACACCAAACACGTCATCAATGCAGTAATACACGTAATCTATATACATACAGTTAATAAACATGTGGGCAAAAATTTAGTTTTTGTGGAAATCAAATCAGTAACTTTGGGTTGCTATAACACTTTAAAAAAAAAATAGATATAAGCCTCGCCTTAGCACATGATATTTTCCTTGTAGGCCTACATGGGTAAATTTCTAGAAAATTTGGAAAAAATGCGTGTCTCCGATTTTGATATAATTATGGAAAAAAATAACAGTTTTTGATAACATTCAATTATCCGAGGAAATTATCATGTTTTTTTACTTACAATTTTTAAGATGTTAATTGATCCCTATTCAATAAAAATTAAGATAATTAAATTTTCCTTGATGTGACACCAACCTCAGGGTGGTTCAAAGATATCCTTTATAAAACACCTTTTTTCATCAAAAGGGCAGCTTTTTAGAACGCTCCCTTCGATTCAGGGGTGTTCGTTACAATAAAATAAAACACCTCTGAAATGTTGTGTATCATTGTAAAATCTTTCGAATAAACAAGGTGTGCTTGGTTTGTGTGGTAGTAACAGGCAAACCTCTATTTTCTGACTTTGGCCCTCCACTTATAGTCAACTCTACAGGATTTATATTACACTGAACATTTAATGGATGTTAAGTTTGCTTACCATACACTTTGGAGAAATCTTGGTAACTGATTCTTTCTTCTAAGGCACGACAGGTAAGAGGCATCTGTCTCGACGTATTAAACGACGTTACAGCTATAGTTGGCGGGGATACCGCCTAAGAGTGATTCTACACCAACCGATTTCTCTGTATTTATTGAGATGATTGGACTGCCTGCCAGATCACTTTGATCGCTATTGCCAAGCCCGTAACTTACAGGCCGATGAGATTAATATCTATCATGACGACAATATTAAATCTGAAAAAGCAAACCACACCATATGGTTCTTGGTTTTTGGTTTTTATCTTGCCTACCAGATCACTTTGATCGTTATTGCCAAGCCGGTAACTTCTCTGTGGAACAATTAATAATAATAATAATAATCTTTCAAAGTCAACTCCAAATTTGATTAAGCTAAACCGAAAATGAAATTACAGGTCGATGAGATTAATATCTATCATGACCACAATATTAAATCTGAAAAAAGCAAACCATACCATATGGTTCTTGGTTTTTGGTTTCGGGATTCATGCACTTTCCTATATAAAACAAGATGAAATAAATTTTATGTAAATTTGGGAGTATGATTTATTACTTGTTTTTGCTATACACATAATCTATCTATGTATCTCCTCCCGGTTCGGAGGTTGGTTGCAACATATTTCCATTTCACTCTATATTCTGCCTTTCTGGTGCACTCTTGCAGTTTTAGTCCACTCCAGTTCTTGACATTATCTTCCCAGTTGATTCTGGGTCTCCCTCTCAGTCTAGTTCCTTCCACTCTTCCCTCCAACACATCATTTAAGAGGCTTTTTTGCCTTTTAACATGACCAACATATTTGACTTTTCTCTCATTAAGTAATCCTACCAGTGCAATTTGTTTACGGCCTGCCATGTGAAATATATCTTTGTTGGTTTTCATTTGTTTTTCCAGGATATTTCCATCATTCTGCTGTAAATCCACATTTCAAAAGATGTTATTTTATTTACTATGGCCATGCTTATTGTCCATGTTTCTGCTCCATACAATATGACAGACCATACATTACAGTATACTAGTCTTAACCAAAGCACAAATTTCACCTTTCTATCTGTGAATATAAAGTATTTTCATTGCCAGAAATGTATTCCGAGCTATTTCTATTATTCTTTTAATGGCATACTGGGTGATATCATGAACTATTACTGAGGGGGTGTAGACTAGTACTACCACTACATAACAATACTTTTCCTGCATGTGATTCCTACACATTTAATTTATAATCTAGTCATGGGTATTCAAGAAGGAAAATAAAAAGTGCAATTACTGCCACTAAAGAACTATGGTGGTGCTGCCCCCAGCCCCGCTTGGGGATATGTATCCCATTTAAACAACTTAAGATCTCCCTTGCCTAAGGATGATTCACACCAAGTTTGATTAACATCCGATCATTCCTTTTTGAGAAGAGGTTGACAATAATTAACTAGCTTACGGATGTCGAACGACGGACAAAAAGCGATCGCAATAGGCCACTTGAGCCTCTTGCCCAGGTGAGTAAAAAAACCCTGACACTTGTTAGCAAAACTAACCAATTAACTAGCTTAACATGTGATACTATAAACAGATATATAATATTTCATAAAAATACAATGAAAATAAAAAGAACAGAGTAGCCCTTATCCATGTTATCTGGCTGATATATATGCATAGCATACAATGCTATATTCATACCCACAATTTCCCTAGTGTATGCTTCAAATAGAAATGATTTACGTTGAGATAGGAGGAATATTATGGTGGTTGTACATAACAAAACAAAATGATTGAGGTAGGCACGCGCTTAACCACATGTTTAAAGGAATAGTTGAGTTCTTGTTTAAGACCGTAATGCCTTCAAAGTGCATGGTTATTGCTCTTATTCTTATTTATTCTTATTTTTGTATTGTTATTCATGTCTTCTTTATAAAAGCAGGGTGGTCCCATTCAAGCCGCAAGGCCTGCTTTACAAGGGAGCCCTGCTGTAACAAACAAATTTCATTTCAAATATCTTACAATACACATAAATATACAATAAAAAACAACATAATATAAACAAACTGTAAAACATTTCATACAAATAGGAAATTAGATGAAAATTGAAGAGGAGAGAGAGTAAACGAAAGAGAGAAAGAGAGAGAGGATGGTAGGAATACTTCATGTAAGCGATCGCAAAATTAACTCACTTGAATTTCAGGGACATTTCGTTTAAAAATTAGTGAGGCAGAACATTTGGTAAGTATGGGTAGTGAGTTGAATAACTTTGCTGCTGTGTACGAGAAGGTCTGTTTTTGTAAATCGGTTCTGGGTTTGGCAAGGTACAATCGATGCATTGATACTGATCTCGTGGGATACGGGTAAGCACTTTGAGGTAGACCTTGTTTTAGATAAACAGGAGCAAGACTATTCAGGATTTTATACATAAGTAGTTGATAATTGCATTCCAATCTGTGTTTGATGGATTGCAACTTTAAAGAGTTCAACATAGATTGTACAGGCGTATAATAATCTGCATCTAATACTAAACAACAATATTTGTTTTGACATGTCTGTAGTCGCTTAAATCTTTCATTTTCAGTGATCCCCAAAGAGTTGAACAATAATCAATGTGAGGAAGAATTAAAATATAGTATAAATTAGTAAATACACGTTTTGTCGAACAGTGTTTAACCCTCCGCATACATATGAGCGAGTTCATAATCCTTTTAACAACATCATTGACATGGGGAGACCTATCTAAGTTCTGATTTACAATAACACCCAGATATTTAAATTTCGATACATTTTCTATAAGTTTACAATCCATTTTTATCTGTAATTTGACTGGATTCTTCTTCCTTCGACTTGAAAATAACATAACTTTAGTTTTGTCTGTGTAAACAACTAGTCCATTTTCATTCATCTATTCCAATTTCTTTAATAAGAAGATCATGGGGGATGATATCAAACGCCTTTCTCAAGTCTAAGAAAACAGCACCAGTAAATCGCCCTTTGTCAAGGTTATCGTATAACAATTCACAAATCTATGTTAAGCATGTTGAGGTAGAATGTTTACTCCTAAAACCGGACTTTCGATCGGACATTAATTCTTCATTATGACGATATTCTATCAATTGAGAGTGGACTGCCCTTTGGAAACAGTGGACAAGAGGGGGATAGGACGAAAGTTACTTAGTTCGTGACTAGTCTTTGTTTTGGGAATAGGGACTTTGTTAGCCATCTTAAAGTCATTTGGGATACGCCCAGATTGTATTGACTGATTGAAAATACGAACAATAGGAATGGCAACCAATTGAGCACTAAGTTTCATTGATCCAATGATAGTCACCGCCTTCTGATTATGTGCATCTTAATGAAAACATTCAGCTGTTTTAACAATAACGACTGCGTAAGCATTTTCGGTCACTAGGGACTTTTAGATTCGCACGAAGACAATGGGGATTGCTACGGTCGACGTCCTTTTAATGCACTGCCTTGAATGGACGTCACACGTATCAGTCCACGCAAAGCTAAAAGTCCCTATTGACAAAGGAGCAGTTTCCCTCTCTTGGGTTTTGTTTGGATGGTGTGCTCTGTAAGAGTGTGTCTTAAATAAAAACATCCCCAATGGGGAGCAGCAAAGTTGAAAAGCAGACGATTTTGGTGATACGAAATGTATAATTACTGATTAGCACATTTTCGCACACACCCATGACCTTATAAAACAATTAGAAGGCCATGATCTTTAAAAGCCCTGTGCGTTGTAACTCTGGAATATTATGAGGAAATAGGGGGAAACTGGATTTTAAATCACAACCAATCCAAATATGACCTCTATTTATTATGTCAAGATGTTTTTCAAAAGAAAATACAGTACACGGAACAACAATTTCCGATTATAAGCCAGAACTGCACATCGATTTTCCATGATTTAGGCGAGTATTTTTTTTCTGGGCATGTATATTAACATGTGTAAAATCACTATCTTGATTCTGTCCCGGCTTTTTGGCGGTGACCATCATGAGATCAAAGTGAAGAAACATGTAGGGAATGTTATTGAGACGACATTGACGGAGACAATCACAATGAATTCGTTAAGAAAACGATGAATGTCCATCCATAATAGGTCCATGAGATAACGATCGATATAAAATCGTAATGATAGCGTTTTACAAAACACTTTATGGTCAGCCGTTTTATATCGAAGGCTTCTTACGTTTAAATGAGCAACTTTAAGCCCCTTTTCACTGGAAAATGTAAAATCAGCATGGTTCCACTCACCCACATCTTGACTTGACATTACTATCAGACGAATCTTTGTTCGTCTCTTGTTCATAATCTGTATCAAATAGAAAAAGATAATTGGGAAAATAAACATCTTGTACACTGCCAATTAACAAATTTCTCGCTAGGATCATTACTATTAGCACGTCGAACATTTGCACATTTAATATGAACCCATTTTGAACAATTAGTACACAGCACTGCTTTCTGATTTCTCTTTACAGGTTTTTCACATATAGAACAGGAATTACATGTAGTATTTAACCGGGCTTCGTCCAAGTCACGAGATGTAGCAGGCATATCATCTATGTCATCTAGTTGTGGTGTGAATGTTTCAGATTCACAATGATCATGGAACGGTAGTTCTTGAAATATACATTTATTACAAGTCCAATCAATGTCTCGCTCATAGTCGGATATTGGGACTCCACATTAACATGGCACCATTGTTGACAATGCACTCATTCTGGTTGCTCCTGACTGAAGTATTACATATCAAGCAACGATATTTCATGTTAGCACGACTGGTCATCATTAATTATGGTATGAAGAAATAAACCAAACTGCAGAACACTTACAAAGATTCAACAGGACGGAGATCTCTGATGGTGATTAACTTGTCGTTAGTTGACAAGACAAGAACGCGGCCGTCCTGTGTCCAGACACGTTTTACACGCTTCTCTTTGATTTTGTTGACACAGGCACCGACTATCTCCTGTCTTGATGAAGTTAGATCCTCTTTGATGTATATTTTGGATCCTCGAAGTTTCGACTTGGCTTGGTAGACCAACATCCTCATGTTGTAGCGGACAAACTTCACTATCACAGCTCTCGGACGATTTTCTGAGCCACGGAATTGGCCATTATCTGTTCGTGGGCGAGGTGTCACTTGATGACTTTTGCCCAGATCTGTAGGAATGAGGTCAAGATCCCACTTATCTTTGAACAAATTGAGGGCAATGTTATCAGTATTTTCGTTTTGAGATTCTGGTATTCCGTATATCCGCAACGAGTTGCGTCTAGTATATTGTTCAAGGTATTCGATTGCTGCCCTTTCCCTGTCGAGGCATCCATTTTATCTTTCACGTCTTTCACCTCTCTTTTCTTGCTTTCAAGTTCAAGTAGCATTCCATCATGCACATTTTGTGAGATTTTTTCTTCGAATCTCTTACACACAGTTTCATATACAGAGTCAACAATCTGATCAATTACAGGGCCCGACAGTAGTACCTTTGTAATTTCCTTGCATATCACGTCTTTTAGTTCACTACTCACGCATTCTTCTTCCACGGCTGAGTGACCATAGTCCGGCAGCCATCTCGATATACCTTGTTTTAGGGTCTATAGTTTTTTTTTCTTCGGATTATAGTTCCTTAGACCATCAATTTGAAGAATTCGATTGCTGACACTCTGTCAGCATTGAGCAATTTGAAATATGTGACGTCATACAAAATGGCCGCCAAAATCCCCTTTTTAACCAAAATTAATGATATAAAAAGTTTTAACAGCATTTTACTACATTAAATTGCAGTGACATATCTTGATTTTTTTCTAGAATCATCACTAAATAAAAATTGCGATACTGTATGATCACAAATGATATGCAAATTTGCATAATTCGGAATGGCGCCCTCTATAGACACATTAACTTGCATAGTTCTAAATGATGGCCAAATACCAATTTCTAACATGAGATTATCATATGTCATGAGTCAGATGCACTGGATACAGTGAGTAAAAATTATGCTGCACATTTTTTTTATTTCGTAATTTAATACTCAAAGAAAACACGGTTGAATTTTATGCTCTCTGTCCCATAGATATGAGGTGGCATAAGGTGATAAATGCCCATTTTCAGTGACAGCGTTAAGAAACTAGATTTGTTTTCTAAGGTACTAGATTCTTTTAAATTAACCTAAAAATTACAAACTACCAATACGATACAGGACTATATCCGTTTATATGTTTGCTTCAAAATCTTGAAATTTGTTTAAAAACCCTCTAAAGTGTTGGGAACCCTAAAATATTCCATGCCGAAGAGGATGTCATTTAACACTTAATTCTGCACAGTCAGGTCGTGACTGTTATACGTGCTTCCACACGCATGTTTGCAAATGAGCTCTCTTAACATTTTCTACAAACGCTTCAGTAGTTTGAGGTAGTGAGGCAAGGTTTGGGGGTATCTGGAGCTCCTAGTCTTCGGACCCTTGATAGCCACACGCTGATACGAGCCTCTGACATTCAGTTGATTGTTGACTGTCCATAACATGAAGAAAAGCATTGAGTAGGTTGAGTGATGACATATGACCATGCTGCATCAACATTGCCAACTGAGTCCTAAGGGAGTCGAATCTTCTGCTTCATCACTTCAGCATTGTACCCTATCCAATGCCAAAGTATGCCCCAAGAGTGTCGCATCCCGTCAACGCATGTCCTGCCAACATCGATGGAATGATATCTCCTAACTTGTCTACATTGGCAGGAACATCAGTAACAGTTCGATTTGTGAAGGGGCGTCTCCATGGTCATTGGCGTTTTATAAGTCCGTCATGTAGATAATGATGCAAAAGTAGTACGTAGACGTCTGTGTCATCCACTAAGACCCTAACATACATCTTCTCATTAGCATCAATTCAAATCGCTTGCTGTACTTTGATGTTGCCTGCTTCATCATAACTATGTTGTGGACAGACCTTTCCTTGGCATGACATCACTGTCTGGAATCACTTGAACAGGAACCTCATCTTGACGGTAAAGGCCTGCTCGTGCTTTTGTCTATTTCTGAGCACCCAATCATCCTGCAGACTCGCGCATATAATTATGATGTCGATCAACTGTCGTTTGTTGTCATGAAAAGATAGTGAGGTTAGCAACACTAGAGACACGTTTCAACAACTTCTCTCCCTGGTCAAATTTCTGTTGGTGGACGAACGATCACCAACCTAAGATACGCCGACAATACAACACTCTCTGGCGTATTGATGGGGAAGGGTTAGGGGGGGGGGGGGACAGTTGACCCCCAAACAGAATTCAAACTGTTTTGTCTACATATTCGATACCAGTAATTTACAAATGTTGCTGAAATGACATGATTTTCCTGGGTTTTTTCTCACTTTTTAGTAAATTATTATTTGTTAAGCGTATGTTGGAAAATGACAAATCCTAAATTCACAGTCAAGCAAAAAATATGCTTATTTAAAAGCCTACATGTCAGGGTCCGCAGAACAGCGGGGCTCAGGGGACTCAAGCCCCCCTCACTTTTTGTATAAAGTATGTTAAAGAGAACTAGAAAGAAAGAAAGTGACCCGAGGTGAAATGAGGTATCAAAATATGTTCATCTTACAGTTAATAAATACCTGAAACTCTTAAGCTTCCGGGGGCTGTGCCCCTTGAACACCATGCCAATTTGCGCTCCTCTCTTCCTGATCATAAATACTTCACCCCCCCCACCCCCGCTTTAAAAAAAGATCCGCGGGGCCTGCATGTAACATGTATGAGTGGTGGTGATGCAGATTGTTTTTCAGCCCCTCTAAGTGTTTTTGCTCAGTATGCCACTGACAACACTTATAACAAGAACATCAGAAGAACTACTAGAACTCCTTAAAAAAGAGTGAAGGGTGCAAGTGAATAATTTGGACCCTACCTCAATGTGAAAAAGACCAAGATCATGATTGGTGGAAATTAACTACATGCAACAGAGCATGGTGGTTTATGAAGAAGAAGTTGATCAAGTGGACAAGTTTATATAATGTTCCTGGGTCAATGATTGTCAAGGAGGGTGGAAGCTCGGCAAATATCTGCCTTTGAAATGTGGTGTTAGATCGAAGCTACTTGGGATATCATGAAGAGATTACAACACCAATGGACACAATTAATGTCCATCATCGGAGATCAATCGCCACTTGCGACCAGGATTGACAAGTACAAGCTACAAATAGTTTGGTCAAGTTAGCAGAAGATCATGAGACAACCTTGACAAATTATCATTCAAGGTACCTTTGAAGGAACACGTAACAAAGGAAGACTCAAGCTCAGATGGACTGACGACCTTAGGGAAATCACTAGCCACCCTCTAAATACTAAAGACACTCTACCAGATTGCAGGAGACAGATGCCGATCAAAAGGTCTCATCAAACGGGTCACAAGGGTGAGCCATGATCTATATGACAACGACGACGAACAGTAAGATATTTCTTGGAGGGCAGCAGTGACGCGGGACTCAGTTGGAAGACTCTCGACCCGTTATGACCTCTAGATACTGTCGGATCTGTCAAACACCAAGCAAACATCATCAGATTTTCATCCACAGCAGAGCACAACCATCAATAACTGTACATGGTTGTTCCAGTGTCTCATGCCTGGCTGACATCTCAACTTTTGTCAAATTCTATAAGTCCGTCTTTGACATGGGAGTGCTCGTTTCCAGAATCATCAAAAAGTGCTGTTGGGACTGGTGAAAGCTCTTATGACAAAATGTCCTTGACATTGACCTCTCTTGAACTTGTCTGCAGTCATATCACTCTGGAGTAGATTAACTTTTCATAGACTTTCGTACCCCCAACATTGACTTCTTCATGGCTGCCACGGTTTGAACTTTCTTGGAAATTGTGTCATAGAATCCACCAGGTAATTTCTTTTGAAAATCGTGCATCTGTCTAGTATAGATGTCAACTGCTTTATCCACATTTACTGACGTTGGAGCAATGCTGGTCTAAATAAAGCCTATCAATTGAATAATGATGTGTGCCGTAAAACCACTTCTCACCGATTTGATGAAAAATGAATTCTTTCATAGTCATTTTTTTTTCTTGACATATGTAGGGTAGGTTTAGGGAATTGGAGACCACCAAGCCTGAACCCATCACTGTCTGTCCGTGTTGGCTCCAATATTGGTATAGCGACATATGTGGTCTTCAACAACACTACTGCATATATCCAATTCATTTCGAAGACTACTATGCGTTCTCTCAACGAGAAAATTGGCAAAATTGACCAAGATAAGCAATTTTGATCGTAAAATGTTGTTCTGATATAAAAACACAATTTTCACTGAATGCTGTGGTGTATGCAGATATTTAGGGGTGGCTCCTAAAAATCAGTTTTAAAACGAAGTTTATGAAATGTGCCAACCATGAATGGTGTCTGATCAGAAATGTGTGTAGGTAATGGGGGACACCAGGTCCAAGATGGGGGCCTACTTCTCCCCAGTTGTCCATTTCATGTTGAAAGGCACTATCATGAAACATATTTGGTTGTACGTGACACCATTCTAATTTGAATGCATTTAATTTTAAGAAGTTGTTTCTATGCTGGGAGTTTGATCGATGTAAAAGTCATATTGCCAGAACATTATTCTGAAAGTATTTTAACATAATTGAGAGCACCTTTATTACTGTAAACAAAAAACTACAGAAATATTTTGTGCCACATTGTTTTAAAACCGTTTCAACATTACAGTAAGTTCATTGTCTGCATGTATCTCTTTCAAAAAGTGTTTGAACTATAACAATCCCATTTTCATTCAAATTGTATTTAAAATGCCTTGATTTGTAACTGTCCCTTATTACCTACACATGTAGGTAATGAGAGGCCTTTGGCGATGACGTCATTAATCATTGTTATCTTATTAATCAGTTACATCATGACCACAATTTCGTTACCAAATACAGAGAAAAAATACTAAAGTGAATACAATGTCTGTATGTGTAACATTGTTCATGTTTATGTAAATTATGCAAATGTGCTTAAGGGTCTTCCATTCCCCACACCTACCCTATCTAAATTTGTACCAAACACGATGAAAGATTAATGCAGCACAACTGCAATTGTTGCCCCAAAAAACATTTAATATGTTTTCAACGTGACATAGATTTAAGAAATTGGCATTTGGCTGGCACACATATTTTATTCAAATTAATATGTTTATAGAGGGCGCTATTTCAAAATATGCAAATAAGCTGGTCATCTTTGGCCATGCAACATCACGAAACATTTTTTTAGTGATGGTCCAAGAGAGATACAGACATTTGGCTGCCAAAAATTGTAGAAAAAATCCTTATTATATATTTATTATTCATTTTTAAAGGAAAATCATGTACTTTGGCGGCCATTTTGTATGACGTCATATATCTTAAATTGCTCAAGGCTGACAGAGTGTCAGCAATCGGATTCTTGAAATAGAAGGTCTAGGCAATCAAAATCCATTGAAAAAAAAACTATAGACCCTAAAACAAGGTTAGGCCAATAATCTGGATTTGGCTGCCGGACTACCAGCAGACTGACCATCTGGACT